ATGAAAGTTATTTCACGTTCCATTTCAACCTTACGTGGAAGGCGAATAGACAAAAAGATTGCCAAACGGACAACATGAAGTGATAATCAGAACCCGGGCTGGATAGTCATCACAGTCGGGTCGATCATGCCCATAGTTTGACATGGATTTGAAGCCTGAGCCTTCCCCAAAACACCATTGATCATGCACTGTAAATACCCGGCAAAGAAATCAACTTCTCTCAGAACACTTCATAGGAGTTAGGAGCATCAATAGATTAAACCTTACCAGTCAAAGTGATCCAGTAAATGCCGTTGGTCGCGCCCTTCAAGTGAGCCTTGATGTCTTTGCACGAAAATCCAGGGTCACTTCTGGAACCCAATGGTGCTTCGTACTGCAGCGCCCTCCACTCACTACCATCACACACGTATACTATCCCTTCTTCAAACGTCATCTGACCAGCTCTTAACGGCTCGCATTCGCAGTCATACTGGCCAATCTTGAAAACATACTGGTGCGTTTCGAAGGTGCCACATGATGACTGAGGGCACCCGATAGCGAAGCACGTCATGGTAGCAAGAGCGACACTCAAACTCGTTAGGTATTTCATTTCAGGCATGCGCACTATCTATGAAGAAATGAATCGATTCCCATAAATAGTTCATTGTTTGCAGTTATTTTCAAAGTTTCGTCACAATTTTATTCCACAGTAAGGCAGAAATTAGATTTAAGAAACAGAATTGATGACTAATCATAACGATTTAATGTAAAATCTTTTGTCAAAAGATTTAGTCACTATGAATTGCAGAGTTAAGATATCAACAGTCTCTTTTACAGTTCTGGGATTGGTGGCCAAGCCTTTGAACAGGAGTGAGGCTAAGGGTGACCCTGTTTTGATAGAGACCTGTATCTAGTTAGCATGATAACAAAGTAATTTGCATTTGAAAAGCAGCCTTATCTCTATCATAACAAGGTCACCCTGAGCCTCACTCCTGTTCAAAGGCTTGGCCACCAAGCCCACAACTGTAAAAAGGACTATTTAAGATCACTGATTTTCTAAATAAATGCTACACCTGCCTTTGTCAGGTGAAGAGTTAGAGATGATTACGCGTCGCTACCAATTGAGCATGATGGGTGGCTGTTATTGGTGCGTTTTGGCGCGTTCTCACTGGAACATTTCAATCCTTATTACTTTTCCGAGAGGCTTGTGTTTTTCCCTCAGATTTCCATTTTGACAGGGACCAGCTTTTGTGCTTCTTGATTTTAGACACTTATGCTTCGGGAATGACGCCCTGAGGTCCCTTTTAATGTTACGTTGTTCAACGGATAAATCGCTATCCAGCGGATAAGCGTTACCAAAACATTTTGCGCTATACAGCGGATGGATATTTCTCCAGTGGTTAGCGTTATTTACCCTTCGAAAAACCGGGCCCTGAAGTCTAATTTGGATGCGCAGGGCAGAACCGAAAATTGAAAAACCCATTTATAATGTTGTGAATAACGTTAATAACTTTAACTGACTTTGCGGAGAAGCGGCAAATTAACCATTAACGCGCTAGCGCTGGACTGCGGTACGAGAGGTCCAGATTCAAAACGTAGCAGAGTCATTCTGTTGTGTTCTTAAGCAAAACACTTTGCTATCACAGTGCATCTCTCCCTCATAGAGTATAAATGAGTACAAGTAAATTGTCAGGGAAAGCTGACGAAATTTCTGTAGTAATAGTCCCACTCGCTTCATGCTATCGGGAAAAGCTTCGGCATGATGGGCCACACAAATCGAGTGTAGCCTATCTACCCTCTAGAATTCTGGAACGGAAAGGAAATTGTATGGCTCCGCTTCCTTGCATTTATGTAAGAGCTTGAAATGGTTCAAGGCTGGGATAGCCTATTTGGAGATGATATAACGAGCTAATGGTTAGTTAGATGGACTGCAAAATTACCTTCTCCTTGGACTTGAACTGCTTCAGGGGAATGAAGTCAAATGCCAAGTGAAACAAGTATGTTGCGACTATATCTTTTTAATGAAACAATTTGTTTCCTAAAAAAGAAAACAATACAAAAAATGACCACTTGATCATTTGGCAGATTTCAATCATAATACTAGAACTTTTCTTATTAAGTTTATTTAACTTAAAACTGGTTTCCGCAATTCGACTTCGAGAAAAATGCTACACTTGTTATTTTAATTTCGCTCAGGGCTTTTTAAATGATTTTTTTTCTTTTATTTCATATCCAATTTAATAACGTTTATGTATGGGTCTCCTGACGTTGCACAAACTATTGCTAGGGGGCATTTTCGATTTAGAGTAAACATCATATACTTATTTTTAAATCTGTTGCACTTCTAAGTCATTTCATCATCATTTTTAACCAGAAAACCAAGAAGCAATGAAACTGTTCCAGTATTAATTTGTTTTTCATCTAGTGTACACAATAACACTTGCCCAGTGCCGTGTTTCCTTTGCATTCCCATTGAAAATAAAAATGCTTTTTTATTAGGAATGTTTATTATATTTGAACAGTTTGTAGGTCTTACGGAGTGGATAAGTAGTTATATGATACAATAAGTTTAAACGTCTGTGAATATATGAAAATCATATTTGTGAACTGCAGTCCGAAAGAAATGAGTATGACAGCGATATTCGCAGTAATAAACACTACTTAAGCAGTAGTGAAAATAAGGCCTGAAAAACATTCAGGTCTGTACGGGATTCTAACCCATGTCCTCTGCGATACCGGTGCAGTGCTCTACCAACTGAGCTAACGAGCCAACTGGGAGCTAGTCAAAATGTTGGTTCGTAATAAACCCTTGAAGTGATGATAAGGGACAATAAGTCTGGTAAATTCGTAAAGAAAACATAAAAACAGAATTGTGAAACAATGTTAATTTCATCCTAAAAATGTTTATAATATCCAAGGATTTTACTGGCCAAAGTATTATTCCCTCCCTGTGTGCAGATGTGAGGGTAATATATTTGTCGTTAGGCGTTCTAGCAACCTCGTTCCCAG